GATATTAAGAAGAGGTGGCAAGAATACACAGAAGAACTGTACAAAAAAGATCTTCACGACCCAGATAATCACAATGGTGTGATCACTCACCTAGAGCCAGACACCCTGGAATGTGAAGTCAAGTGGGCCTCACAAAGCATCACTACAGACAAAGCTAGTGGAGGTGATGGAATTCCAGTTGAGCTATTTCAAATTCAAAAAGATGATGCTGTGAAAGTGCTGCACTCGATATGCCAGGAAATCTGGAAAACTCAGCAGTGGCCACAGGACGGGAAAAGGACAGTCTTCATCCCAATCCCAAAGAAAGGCAATGCCAAAGAATGCTCAAATCAAGTCTGCCATTTAGGAGAATGACAAAGCTAATAATGTAAAACAATAAAAGCAATACAAGCCTGCCGTCTTCTGTGACATTAGTTTTATGGGGCAGCAAGGATGGACAGCTTTAGAACCAGAATCCTGGAAGTGAATCCCACCTCTGCTAGTGGGTGGGTTGGGTCAGTAGAAAGTCATGTGCTGGGCAAAAGTGATAGGGATGGGGAAAAGGAAACATGACTATCACCCTTCTCTAAAAAGAATTTATGAAACAGGTGTAAGACTTGGATACCTGAGTATGACTATATGAAAAACAACAAAGACAAAGACATGAAGCCAAGGTGGACAGACCCAGACCACATGGGCAGTATGAAGGCAGGGTGTCATTTCCCAGAGCAAGGGGAATCTACGGTCAACCCTGGATCAGATGCCTCATGGTCGGGCAAGCAGGAGATGACACAGAGAAGGAAGGAGTGCAACCGGCTTCCCGTTCCTTGCCCTTTTTTGAATTGAAAGGCTTTTTCCTTGGCTTTTTTATTTTATTTTTCAGTTTTTCTCTTTTAAGTTGGTTGTTGGCAGTTGACCTTGGCTTTCCCATGGGGCAACTTTTGGTTTTTGAGGTTTAGTTACTTGGAAGGTTCCCCCAAAGGCCCCCCCGGGCGGCGTTGGATTCAATTCCAGGCTTCTGGTTCTAACACCACCTGTCCCTGCTGCCCCATAACACTGATGTCACAGAAGAGGGTGGGCTCTGGATGCTCGGTTTGGTTTGAATATGTTGCAAGAAGAATCCACTGGAGATTTCTGCTAATCGGGAGGGCAGAGAGCACAAGGAAATATGTGTCTTGGATCCAATGGTTGGTGCTGGTAGGAAGTACAACAGTGGGACGGCTGAGACAGAAAAAACAGCACTGGGGCCGTGCCTCCGCTCTGCCGCATCGAGGCCACCCTGGAACCTCTGGGAGGTTTCAGATGCTCTCCATTCCCTCTCCCTGATCGACAGGTCCAGTTCATCTATTCTCCCTTTGGACTTCACTAAGTCATTGAGAGAGACCCCAAACCAATTTCATAAAAGGTAAACCAAACTTCTCTTCAAACAGCAGGGCAGCAGGAAGAAGATTACTCCCAGGCAGCCTTGGATTTGGGCTCACCGCCACCTGAAGAGCTGAGCACGCAAACTACACTGGACCTGGGATCCAGCGACATCAATACTGCCCAAGCTCCCTACAAAACACCAACTAGATCTTTAAATTTTGCATCTTTTTTTCCCCCAATAACAGCTTGGGGGTTGAAAAGGGCTTCTCTGATGGCTCAGGGGGTAAAGATTCTGCCTGCCAATGCAAGAGACACAGGAGATGCGGGTTTACTCCCTGGGTCAGGAAGATCCCCTGGAGAAGGAAATGGTAAGCCACTCCAGGACTCTTGCCTGAATGATCCCGTGAACTGAGGAGCCCGGTGGGCTGCAGGCAGAAGAGCGGATGGACCTGAACACAGCAGCCTCACTTAGACGATTCACACGGCATGCACTCGCCCACTTAAAGTGCACTATCCAGTGGGGTTTTTAAATACTCATAATAAAAAGCTGTGCAACCACCATGTCACTGCTAGAACGTTTCCTTACCCCCCAAACAAAGCTGATACCCATTAGCAGTAACTCCCCATTTCTCCACAAGCTCCTAAACTGCAGGCCACCACTCATCTATTTTATGTCTTTACAGGCTTGCCGGTTCTGTACATTTCATATTAAAGGAATCATACAATGTGTTCTTTTTGTTACTGATTTCTTTTTCTCCGCATTTCAAGGCCCATCCATGCTGCAGTATGTATCAATTCTTCCTTCCTGTTCACTGCTGCTGCTGCTGCTAAGTTGCCTCAGTCCTGTCTGACTCTTGTGTGACCCCATAGACCGCAGCCCACCAGGCTCCCCCGCCCTGGGATTCTCCAGGCAAGAACACTGGAGTGGGTTGCCATTTCCTTCTCCAATGCATGAAAGTGAAAAGTGAAAATGAAGTTGCTCAGTCGTGTCCGACTCTTCGCAACCCCGTGGACTGCAGCCTACCAGGCTCCCCTGTCCCCAGGATTTTTCAGGCAAGAGCACTGGAGTGGGATTCCATTGCCTCCTCCCTTCCTGTTCACTGCCAAAGAATATTCTACTGTACAGACAGGGGCAACGTCCTCCTGGCTCACTGATATCTTTCTTTCTCCTTTCCCTCTATCAACTAGGCTCCCGGCCAACACAAACACACTAGATGGGGAAGTGTTCCTCCTCTTCTTTACCTACCCTCTTGGGGGTGCGCTTCTGTCCACACACACACAGATGAGTCTCATATCCACGCCTGCAAGTCACACTCTCCACTCTCTGCAGTGTCTCTATGTCTTTGAAGCTGCAGGAACTCACCAACTGCCTTTGCTGTTGCCAGTGGAACTGGCAAAAGTGGGAAGTCTCTACTTTGAGGAAGACACTTAACATCTGGGCCTGCTGCCAGGATCCAAATGGGATAAGGCACATCCAGGGACCAAGCGCTTTCCTACTCTACACAGAAGAAAGGACAGCTCTGCTCTCGCATCTGCAGGAGCAACATCAACAGATCATAACCACCTTCCCTGCCTCTGGACCACCCAACCACAGGATTAGCTGAGGCCCAGAGCATGATCACTGGGTCCCGCAGACTGCCACCTCCTTTGTAGCATTAACCTTAACCCTCAAGACTCAACAAGCCTAGGATAAGCCTTCCCACTGTTTTCTTTTATGGTCTCCTTTTCTGCTCTTCAGAGAATCAGCCAAATAGCTACAAACTACCGGTTTTCCTCACCCCTTTACTCAAGTGCCTGCATTTGAGGAAGTTCCTGTTGGTGAGACAACTAAGCATCATTCATCCAAAAGGGCTCCACTGCTGGACTGGCTGGCATTTCCTTAGAGAAAGGGTGCAGTGGTGAGTCTCTTGGTTCAGTGCTGAGTTAAGAATGAATAGAAACTGTGGTGGATGGGAGGGAAAGGAAAACTCAACAAGATCATCACTAACATTATTTCCTAAGCATTGTGTTTAGGACTTCCATGTTTATTTTCTCAGCTGACTCCTCCACCAAGCCTACGGAGATAGGTACAACAATAATTATGATTTTTTACACGAAGAAACTGAGGCATAATGAGAATAAGCAACACACTTAATGTAAGAAAAGAGCTAAAATTTGGAACTAAATCTTAGAGCCTGCTATATTTTTAAAACACAAAACCATGTTGTTGCTATATTTTAAAACACAAAACCATGTTGTTGCTGCCCTGTACAACAAAATTAAGGACGGGTGAGCCCACTCAATTGAGAAACACCAAATTTACCACCTTTCTGCAGACCCTGTATGAAATCTGGCTAAAGTCAAGGAAGATGGGGAAATAGGCCTGGGGTGACTTCACGATGAATCACGGTAACACGGCTGCATAGCTTCCTCGTCTGCTCTTACTCTGCTTACAGTGATATCTAAAAGACAACAGTGACTGGCTCTCCTGATGATGAGCTATGAGAAATAAAGGGTCCAAACCACCAACTATACTGTAAAATACATAGAAACAGATAGACAGCTAACTGTAAACTGATTTAAACGTGTATGATCTTTGCACACAGGTTACATCAACCAAGTTATTCTGATGTCTGCTTTACACGTCACTCTCCATCCAGCACGTTGCCCAGAGCTAAAATGCACCAAAGCACTCATGCTGTATACTTCTGAAAGCCCATTCAGAATCCCTAGTTTTACGGCTCAGAATAACTATACCTCATTATCTAAACTTGCACTATCAAGTGTTCGCACATGTGTGGCCACTGGCTTGGACAGCTCATGGATGGAACATTTCCATTTCAGCAAAGTTCTATTGAACACTGTTCACCAAACATCTCAAAAATTAGCATTCTATGAGGATATATAAACATTATAAAGGGAAAGGTGGGAAGAGAGGATCAAAGTGCAATACTAGTACTGAGAATTTTAAGACTTTCTAAAGAGCACAAATAAAAGATTTTTAAAAGGAATCTTGAGCATCAAACATTATTCCTAGTTATAGGAAGCAGTGCAGAATCCTTACAATTCTCATTAACATAAAGGTCATGCCCTGTAAATTCAGTGTGGATAAAGCAATAGAAATAGTTTATAGTCAGTTTCACTTTCTTAATAGTGAGCATCAAAGTACTTCCCTACAACCTCTTCTCCAAAAATGATAAGTTCCCACCAAGGGCAGGTTTTTTTTTTGTTTTTGTTTTTGGTGGGGTTTTTTTTTTTTTTGGTCTATTGCATAGACTGCTCTGCTTTCAGTATCTGTATATATAATAAGTGCTTAATAAATATTTGTAAAATAAATGCACCTATTTCCTAAGAACACACACCCAGTCTGAGGGTTAATATAACCACTGCTAAGACAGTGAACTCGAGGGCCTTCTTTCAGCTCCAGGATGTCCCACACTTGTCGCTGACTTGGGGCACTGCTCCATGCTATTTCTTCTTCCTGGAGGGCACGTCCCACGGCCCCCACCCCCTCCCTCAGTGACTTGCTCTTTTTCTCCCAGAAAGTCGCGTCACATGGCTGGAGAAGTATTCTACAGTCACTTTGATTTGAAGTAAGAAGTCACCATTCTGCCACTCTGCTGATTTAACCTACAGCATCATACTGCTAATCATCATTTAAAATGATCTAGTCAGTACATCATTTATTATCTATTCCTACCTCCAGAATATAAAGATGGGAGAGACAAGTTTGACAGTCTTGTGGAATTCACAAGTGCTGGGGCCATAGAAAATGTTTCACAGATGTGAGGGTGATCATTCTACTACAAGCATAAGCACTGTCAACATAAGTTGCATTAACTGCATTTGTTAGCTCAGCTACTCCATCTGTTAAATTATCATACTATCTCAGTTTGGTCCACAATACCAAGAATTATTTTTCACCCTTTCATGCACTAGGCTTTCAAATTAAATGGAATTACAGCAAACTTTACTGAGACTTAATGCAGGTGTTCTACACGATTTATTTTTTAACCAGCAGCTTTTTTTTTTTCTTTTTGTCTGAATTTAAGGAAAGTAACAACCTAAAAAACAAGAGGGGCGGGGTAGGGAGGCATCCTGGAATATTTTATGTACCTGCAAAGGGCTTTCTGCAAGCCAATTAAGGGCAGGTACTCAGATGGTAAAGAATATGCCTATAACGCAGCAGACGTGGGTTCGATCCCTGGGTCGGGAAGATCCCCTGGAGAAGGGAATGGCAACCCACTTCAGTATTCCTGCCTGGAAAATTCCACGGACAGAGGAGCCTGGCGGGCTAGAGTCCATGGGGTCGCACAAGAGTCGGACACGAAAGAGCGACTAACACTTTGCTGCACTGAAAAGATCAAAGAAAGGCTGCAATGTCAAACTCTCTTTGCCAAACCGAAAACCAACCACGATGAGCCTTCGAATAAACAGACGGCTCCTTTCCTACAGAAATATATGTCTTCAGTTGTTCTGTATTCGAAAGGAGAACTTTAAAGCGCGTTTTCCAAATCCGTGCGTTAAAAAGAGGAAGAGGTCAACTGGTGTCCAGCCCGAGGCAGAAGCTGGATTCCAGAAATGGGCTGGAGCGGCCCGGGCACCAACCCCGCCCCGGAGCGCGCAGCCCGCCGGTGCGCCTGAGCGAGCGCGGCCGGGGCTGCCGGGGCGGCCGGGGGCGGAGGCGAGGCTGCAGCGCAGCCGGCGCTGGGCGGGCCGGGCTGGCAGGGCCGGCGGGACCCGCCTGATCGGGCGGCGCACCCGCGCCAGCCCGCGGGGCGTGGGGAGCAGCGCGATCCCGGGGCAGGGTCAGCGCCGGCCCTCCGACTCCCGGGAGCCTGCCGCAAAGCGCAGGGGCGGCGGCCACCTGACAACGCGCACAAAAAACAAGGTGGCGCGGCAGCCACGGGCACACGCGCTTTCGGGGCGCCCCGCCAGGGACACCCCCTCCCGAGGCTCCTCTTACCCCGACCTCCTCGGCTTCCTTCTCCTTCTTTGGCGGCGGGGACCCAAGGGCCCCTGAGCCCCCAGCTACGATTCTCAGCTGATGGGTGGTGGCGCTGGAACGCCCACTGCGCATGCCCGCAATACCTCCCAGGGAAGGAGGCGGGGCTTTCCCCCCTCTCATTGGCCAGTTGAGTTGAGTGACAGCGGCCTTCCCCGCCCCCTCTGGTTCTACGCTAAGAAATAGGGGTTCCTGCAAAATTGCACAGTACGGAGGAGGTGTTCCCTGAGGTCTGAAGTGCGGATGACGAACGCCCTCGTTTGCGTGTAAAAAACAAGAAGGAATGGAGAGCTGCTGTTTTCTTCATCGGGTGATTTCGGCCTCCCTAGACTTCAGGCCGTATCATCAACTCATGCCTATCTTGTTTCCCAACACTTAACTCTCCAGTAGACCATATTCGCAGGTCTATTAAAAAAATGCAAACGTATAAATATGCAGTTCTTGCAGTTCCAACAGGAAGAATGAAGGAATAAACGAAGAGTAATTTCCTTGTGCTCTCTTAGACAAGTTTTCATAGCATCCTTGAAAGTCAGGAAGTAGTTCTCACAGGATTTGAAGTGAGCGGAGAATGTTCTTATGATAAATATTCAAATATAAAGTAATCGTTAGATAAAAAGCATCAGTTGCTTCTGGTGAAAGAAATACCAAATTAATTAATGAGGTCTTTATTGGGGCTTCTCAGGTGCTGTGGTAGTAAAGAATCTGCCTGCCAATGTAGGAGACCCAAGAGACGCAGGTTCGATCCCTGGGTTGGGAAGATCCCCTGGAATAGAAAGTGGCAACCCACTCCAGTATTCTGGCCTGGAACATTCCATGAACAGAGGAGCTTGGTGGGCTACAGTCCCTGAGGCTGCAAAGAGTTGGACCCGACTGAGCACCAGGCACATATTTGCCTTTATTAAGGCAACAGTATTTTCTGAAAGGATCATCAGGACATTAAAATCCAGATGAACTAAGGTGAAAAGAAATCTAAAGCCAGAATACTTTGAATTGGTACCACCCAAGCAAATTTTTGGAGAAGGAAATGGCAACCTACTCCCGTATTCTTGTCTTGAGAATTCCAAGGACAGAGGAGCCTGGCTGGCTACAGTCCATGGAATGCAGGGAGCTGGACATGACTGAAGGACCAATACTGTCACTTTCACTTTACAAGCAAATTTTAGGTTGTTTGTAATTATGCATACAAATGTACTTAAGTGAGTGAGGTCACCCAAGGATAAGAAATATAAGAGGCTCTCCATTTATTTTTCATTTTCTCCTTTAAACAGAGAAATGGGAACAAGAAATATTTTATTTTTTAAAAAAATTTTTGGTTATATTGCATCTTTATTGCAGCACTCAGGCTTTCTCTTGTTGCCCCATGGCATGTGGGATCCTGGTTCCCTGACCAGGGATCAAGCCCACATCCCCTGCAATGAAAGGCAGATTCTCAACCACTGGACCACCAGGAAAGTCCCCAAGAACTATTTTCTATTTCTCATTTTTCCTGAAGAGTACTGTGGTATAAGTGTGACAATAGGCAGCAACTTATACTTTCCCTCTGTTAAGAGCAGACAGTAGAAAAAGATGGGCAGGATTGTCAGACAAAATGCACACACCCACGTCTAAAGGGTCAGCATGGTTCAGCTAGAGCCGATTGCAGACTTTTAGGAATATTGGCCCAATATAATCAAATTCTCAGCTTTGTTGAGATATAGTGGAAATTCTGATTTTTATGTGGAAAATTTTTTCCAGTATTCTTAACATTTTCATAAAACATTCTGTAATCAAATAAAATATGTATTTCAGCTTTTGTAATAGATGATAATTTCAGCCATCGAGTATTAAAGCTGGAGAAAGCCTAACAGAAAAGCTAGCTCTATTTCCCCATATAACAGATGAAAAAAATCTGAAACTCAAAGAAGCATCATCAAAATCACACAAATAATTATGAGAAGCACAGGTCCAAGTGACCTGAATTATCAGCATCTTGATTTCTTCCTTTATTTCATTCAGCAAATACTCACTGATGCTCTGCCCTGTGCTAGGTGCTGTGTGAGGCACTGCAAATCTCAAAATGAGGACACAGTATTTTCCCTCAAGGAGTGAGATCTTTCCCAGAACACTGCAAGAGATGCTGTGATAAAGATTTGTACACAGCGCCAAGGGAGCCCAGAGATGAGGATCACTTATGGGAACAGAGACCATTCCAAAAAAGGAAGAGTTGCTAGAATCTTGAAAAATGTGTAAGAGTTTACTGGGGAGACAAGATGGGAAAGGACATTCCAGTCAAAAGGAAGAACACATAAAACATAAAATCATAGGCAAGTGCAAACTCTCAGGGATCTCTTAAGACTTTAATTAGATAAAGCAAAGTGGGTGGGATGGAGGGGCATGAGACTAGAAAGTCTAATGGAATTTACATAATGAAAACCTGCATATCATGTTTCATGAATACCTAATAGGAGTTAAAGTATGAAAGCAAAGGTGTGATGTGCTCATAATTCCATCGTATGAAGAAGACTTTGGAGAATGGGGGAAAATAAAGAGAAATAGGAGTGAGAGGAGCTTCCCAGATGGCCCAGTGGTAAAGAATCCACCTCCCTAATAGAGCTGTGCCAAGAGAACGCACTGGTCATAGCAAACACCCTCTTCCAACAACACAAGAGAGGACTCTACACATGGACATCACCAGATGGNGTTCAGTTGCTCAGTTGTGTCTGACTCTTTGCGAACCCATAATGACTAGAACTGTTCTAATTCAGCAGTTCTCAGAAGTGTCTGGTCTCAGGATCCCTTTATAGTTTTCAAAACTGGGGTCACAAAGGGCTTTTGTTTACTTTTTTTACTCTATTGATATACATATCTATATCCATATATACATATATATATATATATACACATACATATAGAGACACACACTATTGGAAACTAAAGCAGAAATTCAGAAAATATTTATAATGGACTAAAAACATAGCAACGATAAGTCCATTAGATCTTAATAAACAGCACATTGTGAGAAACTGTTTTTCAAAACAATAGAAGATAAAGTGAGAAGTGTAGAGCTGTTTTACCTTTTCTTAAATCTCTTCAATGTCATCTCTGCAAATCTCTCTAATAGAGCACAGCTGGATTCTTACTTTTGCCTTTAAGTCCAATCTGTTGTGATACGTTGTACTGGCTTAGTATATGAAGTTTGGCCTCACACAGATATAGAAGGATGTTTCTGACACCACCACAACTCAACAAATGATTTCTCAAAGGTTAGCTGAAACCCTTCCAAAGATCTTTTCATATACTGCTATGTTAGAACTGCTTAATCTATCTCTCATTTGAATTGACTACTGTGCAGGGCTTGTAACATCACAAATTGGTCTTCAGTTCACTGAGTTATGCAGGTTTTCCATATCTGGACATATTTCATCACTTAGCACCAAGAAAGAACACTTGTTAACATCACCACCAATCTCATTAGGGAAGTCATTAAGTATACTTTCTTAAGGTATGTTTGAGGTGTCGTCAAGCTCATGGTAGCAGATACAAATTTTCCAAAAAGAAGTCTTAGCCTCCACTGTTTCTGCAGCTTTACTCCAAAAGTCAATACACTAAAAAAGAATTATGCAAGAATATTATAAAGAGCCTTGAGAACTCCCTGAAATGTTCTTGAGCCCCTCAGGGTCGTCTGTCTATATACCACATGTTGGAAAACAACTGTTCTAAAAAGTGTTTCATAAGTATTTTTTAATTCTTCAATGAATGAATAAAACTTCATATTAAGCAAGGAGGTTCTAGAAAGGTTTACAGGATAAGATACTTTTCCAGTTGGGCCAGCAAGATAACATAGAATGTTTAAAAGTTGAGAGGAGTATAAGGAAACACATGGAGCTAGAAAAGTGCAGGGAATCTTACAAGAATCGGAGCAGAAGAAAACATAACTTCAGATGATCAGCACCTCACATGGAGCAAAGCATATTCATGCTCATCACCTCTGTCAACTCTAAGCAACAGTCCAGTGAGATAAAAATCAGCATAATCCTCATAGAGATGAGAAAACCGAGTCCAGTCTGGAAGCTCTTTTAAGGCAAATATCATGCACGTTTTCTCCACATTCAAAACCCTCACACAGAGGCCAGCATATCAAAGGCACACGAATATATAAATATATAAATATTAAATAGATAAATAAATGAGGCTCAGAGAAAGCTGCTCAGGATCACACATCTAGAAAGTGGTGGTTCCAGGTCTGGACTGAGCCCAGGTTTTCTGAAATCAAATCCCAGATTGCTCCCACCATACTCTGAAGTCTTCAAAGGGATTAAAAAAAAACTGTGGGGGACTTGGCGTTTAGTACTTATAAACTGAGGGATTTTTTAAATAAAGGAGTTACATGATTAGAGACCCTTGGTAGCTCAGATGGTAAACAATCTGCCTGCAATGAGGTACACCTGGGTTCTATCCCTGGGTCAGGAAGATCCCCTGGAGAAGGAAATGACAACCCACTCCAGTATTCTTGCTTGGAAAATCCCATGGACAGAGGAGCCTGGTGGCCTGCTGTCCGTGGGGACATGACTTATCACACACACATGAAAGAGTGAGAGAGAGAAGGAGGTTTGACCACCAGGCAGGCTGCTGCGATAGTAGGATCCCCCCATTTAAGAATCTTTCCAATATCAGAGATATTGAAGGACTGCAGTAAGGCAAATACACTGGAGAAGAGGAGGTGAGGACTGCTTTGCGAAATATTTAAGAGGACTTGAAAATCAGTTAGATATGGAGAATGAAAGATGACTCCTCTTTTTAAGACACGTAACTGTTAAGCAGAACATGATGTAGCTGACATCTAAGACAGATAAAGCTGATAAAGCGATTGCAGTTTGAGCAGGGAGGTGGGGAAATGAGGGGTCTAAGTGACGATATGTTTAGCTTGGGAGTTTCTGCGTTGAAGATTCTGGGGATCTGAGATGTGTGGTGTCTTTTAGGTACTTGAGAATGTGAGCTGGTGTTCCAGATGGGAGCTCTGGTTGGAGCTATGGGAAGAGATGAGGTCACTAACCATAAAGTTGGGGTGTTGTGAATTTTCTGTGTCTAAGGAAGGG